CGCAATCTGAGTTCTATATCTGTATAGCCGGTATAACCACCACTCGGTGGAACACACCAGCTTCGCAGGCACGCGGCGCGGCAGCAGCTGGCTACCTTACACCGAACGACTTGTTGCACCTAAACCTTGAACATCTAACTCTAAACATTGTCTAAAGCTATCTAATGATATAAGTAGTATATACTGTATTTGGTGACAGCGAGTTCGATTGCCTCCTAACATCTGCTTGGAGTTCCGTATGTCCGGGAATAACCCGTCATGTTTTTACAAGGGCGACTGTCAAGGATGTTTGTGCAGAAATCGAACCAATACGGATCAGGTTACATCAACAACGGATCGGGTTTCATATCATCTGTTATTACTGAAATTTGATACCGAACAGATCTTATGCCACAGAATTCGCAGGCTGACAACACCAAATGTTAAAAGTTGAATCTGTATCTGTATATCTGTGTAATCGGTATAACCGCCCTTCGGCGTAACACACCAGCTAATATTATTATCCGTTGTTCTCTTCAAATCTAGACCTATTACATCTTGTAAACGCAACCATTTTGTTTTTTTTATGAGTCATGAATTAAAAACGTTTTTTAAGGCAAGGGAGACATTAAATTGTCCCCAAAATTATTGAGGGGACAGGAGAGATAGAGAGAGTGAGAGAAGGAAAGATAGAAAGAGCTAAAATGCTGGGAGTGGTCAACATGCATGTATCACTTGTAGTACATTGAGAGGATATGCACTAATTCCTGAGCACTCTCCAAACCGTACAAGTGCGTTCCGTTACTTCAAGAGTTCCGAGAGCCGCTCTTAAACCACTTCTCGTCCAAATCTGGGATTAGAAAAACAAGAACGAACCACACCGAACCACTTCTGATCCGTGTCTTAGGATTAGGGGCACAAGGCGGAAGTACACTTAGCTAGTCCTGATGTAAGGCTGGGATTAAGAAAACAAGGCGAATTGGGTAGTTTCTGCAAAATTGTAATCATCGCGATATGCTAAATGTGTTTTTTTTATCTCAATGTGCAAAGAATATAATATATAGTGGTGACGCACTTAAGCAATATAATTATATTCACGTCACCACTAGATATAAAATAAAAATTACAACACAAGATAAAACAATGACACATGGGTAACGTCCAAGTAACAAGAAAACAGAGTTAAGCTATTAAGATATTATAAATCAATACAGAACTATAAATCAGTTTTTAAATCGCTTAGTTTCAGTTGACTTAGATAAAAGTAAAGGTGATCCATTAAGTAACAGATACACAGTAGTACTATCAGATTGTTGATATCTAAAAATGGAATGTTCAATGTTTTATAGTCAATGAAATGACTTCGTCTACGGTTGACACGGAACTTCCTAGACTGTTCCCCCGTTGATACCCGACATAGAACGGACGCTGCCGACGCAAAAATACGACTTCATTAATTTCGAATCAGTCGTCCCTTTATTTTGAACCGACAGGGATTTGCTTATCAGTAAAACATGTCAGTCAAACACATCTTGCATTAGTAACTTAAAAATTCCACATCCGAATTTTCATTCTTTGATTTTAACCAAGCTTTCTTTCTTTCTTTCTTTCTTTCTTTCTTTCTTTCTTTCTTTCTTTCTTTCTTTCTTTCTTTCTCTCTCTCTCTCTTTCTTTCTTTCTTTCTTTCTTTTACTGATATCTCTTTTTTGCCAAAAATAAGCCAAAACCCAAACCTCTGCTTGGAGAGTAGCAGCGTCGTCAGTCATTGCTGTAAATTTCTGCAAGAGAACATACCGGCAGCTCCAGACTGTGTCTAGATCATAACCCTCTCAAATCGCCCGGCTCTGACCTTTTCCTGTTCCAAAGACTCTTTCAAAGTCTTCGCTAACTCCTCTAATCTTCCCAGACCCTTGCCTGAGTCTAAGTGTCTACCGAGGGGTCTTTACCGAGGTTAAGTTTCTCCCGAGGCTCAAAATGAAAGACGCAAGGACCTAATGAGAGGAACTGACCCCTAGCCTCCGTAGCAGGCTTATAGAACTGGGCGTTTGGTGGTCTTCGGCTGTTTTTATTTATTAGCACAGTTCTAAAAAACGGGGGTAATTCAACCAGGCCGGCTATGTTGTCTATATGCAATCAGAAAATAGCACATAAATGAAGTGAAATGAAATACCTTTGATGCCACGACGGGCTAGGTACAGGTCAAGACTTAAAAGACACATAACAAACATATGTAGAAAAGTGGAGACAAAAGATGCACTACTTGACTTAGATATAATAGATATACATACATAAGGAACATACAAGGGTACTATACTAGGATAATACAAGGGTACTATACTAGGATAATATAAAAAGCTCCCAAAGACCCTGAAGACCCCCCCCCCCAAACCCCCAGTTTTTGGGAGCTAGTGATAGGAACTGACCCCTCAGTGTGTGTGAAACAAACATCGCTGGTGAGAGGAACAACTGATCTTTAACAAGGTAAATATCACCGAGACAAGGAGAAGAGCAAAGGTCGAGATTTTAGAAGTGGGAGATACCACTATAGCTTCCTCTACAGGGGGTTAATATAAGTCACATTTCTTGTATGATATTTTTGCTGTAAATTTTTCAGTGAGGCCAAAGACGTTCTATCACTTGTTGAAGCTCCTTTGGTGAGGCCATGTCAGAATTTATATGGACCAAAAATATAGCTAGTAGTCTAGTCTGTCAAGCTATGTGCATGTTTTTAAGTGTATATACTTGTTATATGTTCAGTAATGTTTGTACGTAACATCCTTTATGTAATATATGTTTTTTTTATGGCCCTACTGTAAAGCAGTGTCATGCCATTGAGATGATTCAGCCTGCCTAAACAACACAGAAATAAATAGATAATTAAAATTCGCAAGATAGAAATCTACTTGACTCAGTGCGACACATTCATTTACTATCCCAAGAATATAATGCCCTCAATATTTTCTGTTGTAAATATTAGATATATATCGTGCGACCTAATTCGATAGGACCTAAAACGCTCTTGAAAAAAAAAGACAGCACACACGCGTGTAGAATGTTTGTCGCCTTTCGTGTTGTTTCAACGCTGGTGTGAACAAAAGTGGTGATTTGAAAATAGTTTGGTGACGGGGAAAATTCCGCGGCTGCTAATTGTCTGCTGTGGGGAGGGGTGTCGGTAACATGATATGGCCTCCAAGCAGAGGTTAGGGGGCTGTTTTCGTAGCCTTCACCAGGCCTTCCTAAGTTGTTATGGATAGTAAATTTTGGCAAAATTAGGGTGAATAATTGGCCAGGGGAGTGAGCCTGTGGTAAAGTTAACAGTTCCCCTAAATGGATTTATGCTGGAAAATCGTTCTCCTTTAGTCCTGGTATTTAATAGTCTGGTGGAAAGGGTCCCTGAAAAATCTGTGAAGAAGCGGAGACTACTGCTTTGGGCCTTTTTCTTTCGATATCTTGACCTGAAAGTCCAGTGAAACCAATTTTTACGAGGTGAAACCAAGTTTAGGCTTCGGCTGAATTTTAACGTGTTTGGGGCCTTCTTGCATTATTGGGCTTTCTTCGTACTGGTATCTTTTTTTTTCCGAGGGAAACTTAGAGTGACGGAGACTGTCCTGCATATGATACCGTCTTGCCACTTTGATACTGCCTTGCAATCACCAAAATATCTGCTAGGAGATAACCGCAAAACGCCTAAAACGTGCCTAACGTCTGCTTGGAGAGAGTAATTTAATCCCCTTGTCGCGACAAGTGGACAAACATACCGCGCGACCATTTCACGCCAACTCTATAATTGCCGGCAGTTGTGTCCGAGTCACCAGTGCGCGAAAAAACCGCGTGGCCTTGACGGGGAACATGTGTGTTGTGTACATACGTCCTTTGTTGTTTGGGGGTCTAAACGCCAAAAAAATTCTCACACCTTTCAAGACAACTTCTGTAAAAAAAGAGAGACGCAAGTCAAGTTTCCGAGTGAAAATTTTTACGAGTTTACTGCCAGGCCCGTAAAATGCTCACAGCATTGAACGGAAACATTTTCTGAAAAAAAGACGCAAGACAAGTTTCAAGTGGCCATTTTTAGTACGAATTAACTATACCTGGCCCGTTTTGATTTTTCATATTTCAGTATTAAGCTTAAGTATTAACTGTATCTGTTCATCATATTTTGCTGTGACCTGTACTTAGCCCAGTGTGGCAAAATGTGCAATATACATTGTACTATATAGGTCGTCATTCAATCAAATCGCTCGGTGCATACAATCCAATAACAGTTGTAGCCTCCACCAGGCCTTCCTAAGGGATTATGGATAATAGATAATAGATTCGGTCGGCACAAAATGTTACTGGTTAGGGTCAGGGGACTGACCAACAGAAAGGGAATAATATCTCCCAGTCCTTTGCGTGAAAAATACGAGCCATATTCCCCGGGCTAATTATTTGTATTCTCTATTCTATTTTTTCTAGCTCGCATTGTAATTATATGGGAGACAATAATACGCTAACGTTTGGTCAAAGCATGGAGCTATTATTTGAAAGAAAGAAAAAACATGTACAACCCAAGCAAACAAAGCGTTACATGATCAAGGACAAGAAAACACTTAATCATGAAATTGAAAAGGCAGCAAATAACATGCAGAGTTTGTGAATGGTTTTGTTACTACGTTTGGCGCTTTGAACAAACAGTTCCCAAAGCACATTGGCGCCCTGGCACCTTGTTTATACTGCCCCCCTCTCTTATCAATATTATATTTGAATTGTTTTGTTTGACAATATTGTAGGGCGCGCGGCTACCTAAGGGAGCGTTCGTAAAGTTCTTTACGTTCCGAAACAACATTAATACGCTTTTCTTTTTGTAAACGTCATAGACTGAGGGGCTTGTATGTATAGGAAGCTACTACTTTTTTTATGTCGTTATTTGTTTTCGTGATTGACCGAAAGAAAAGAAGGGGACGAGCGGCCCCTCCCCTGCATAAGCACCCCGTCGGGGGCCCCAGTCGGCCCGCCCACTCCCCACTCGAGCCCGCCCGCCCTCGGGCCTCTCAGTGGCCGTTTGTCAACCTACGAAGTGATTGAAGGATCCATACGGCAGTCCACAGCCTTCGCCCCTCCCCTTAACCCACCCTGTCGCCGTCAGTTACAACAACCACAACAGGTTTCCATTCCAAAATACCGTCACTTTCACCACAAGGCGGTTGTTGGTTGGCACACCTACAGGTGCTCTCGTGCCCAGATCTACCGGAGACTACCCCGAGCTCGAGAACACTTCCAGCGGGAGGGAGTCGCGCCGTCCGGCGGTGTTGTGCGACGCTCTGCCCCGAAGTGCATGGACCAACCCTCTCGGTGTCACCCTACCCGCGATTTCGGAACCTAACCCCGTGTATCGCCGGCTCAGAGTAACACTAGCCGCCACGACAAGCGATCGTCTCTCGTGCAGGCGTGATCTTTTCGGGATTTTCCGGTGTTTTCTTCCTTCGCGAGGACATGTGGTCGACCAGCTCAACCATGGACGCGCCGGCCCGACTGGGTGTCACCGTACCGGCGCTTGGGGTCCTTCGGGCGGCCTCGCTCCTCACCGCCGTAGTTTTGTGCACCGTTTCCCCGGTGGGAAGAACGCAGCTTATATCTGGTGAGTGAGCATAACTCGCATGCCTACCGGGCAAGCGGGCACATGCGTGGGGAACACAAGGCCGTGCACCGGTTGTTGAAATTTCGAGCGGCGTTCGCAAGTTCTCAGTAGGACACCGCTGCTAACAAGTCTCACTACTGACATGTGGTGATTGTTGTTCTACTAGAACATAACATCACAAGAATGTAACTCGAGTTGACTGTTTTAAAATGTTATACCGGTGTACACTCGACTATTACTGCGACCTACACTATTTTTTTAATGTTTCCTTACAGAAAAGTGTGGTCCTTATAAGATGTGCCATAAATTTTACTAATGTTTACTGATGTTATATCCTCGTGAAATTTATGTTGTGGTCGTCTGAAATAGAAAAGAAATGACTAATTTTTCTTTCCAGGTTCCATCGCGACTTGTACGAACGAGGGAGAACCGGTGATCATACCTCTCATCGCTTTCGATCCTTGTATCAGCTGCATCTGCCTGGTAAGTCACTTTATAAACATTATGAAACGCCTTCGCGAAATCTACAACTCAGCCCCTACCAGACTCCAATAGAAAATTGTAGAAATTAACCAGAAATACTGAATATGCCAAATGAGTTAGCTGGCCATAGGAGTACACTTTGCAATCCACGATGGTAATTTTTTAGTCTATTTGGCCAATTTTATACTATTTCTCATAAACCTATTGGTCGCCTTTTAAAGACTATCTAAAACTGACCCCATTAAAATGTGGTACTTTTCCTGTGTTGGAAGACCGTGAGTTCCATTGCTACCATAAGGCATAAGAATTTAGAATTGTTCGCCTTCAGAAATACGTAAACATCCTCTTATACCCACTTCGGGCTATGAACTTAAATTGCCAGTGTTTAAAGTTTTGTGCATGATGACATAAATCTTCAAAGCAAAAATAAACCTTATATCATACAGTACAAAATTTACATACGATCAATTTCTTCAAAATTGTTTAACCTTACAGCAGTGTCATTCTATTTAAATTAAAGAGTTCCTAAATCGTTTAAAAAATTACTAAAAATTATTTTAAAAGTAGCTCTATACGGACTAGCTAATAATAATTAATAGCAAATCCATACGTATAATAATATGTAAACGGCCGAATACAAAGATATATGGTTGCAAGGAATAGTATATCTTTCTTATACACATATCTATATCTACACTAAAGTAAGGGTGTGTTTGTGGTTTTTGCATAGTTCTACTGTGCAATTTACCCATACGACCACATCGGAAGCAGTGTCACCCCTCTAGTTAAACTGTTACCTGTTAATAGTGTTATATAGGGCCAGTAGCTACTTAGACATCATGGAATGTCCCCTGCTGTTTGTCCAAGGTCGTTCTCTCAGACAGCATTGTTTTACCCAAGCAAAAATAAACAGTTGTACAGTAAGTAAGTACAGCATAAAATTAGCTTACAATCCTGAATATGGCTATAGAATGCGATTCTCAGCGTTCAAACATTGCGAGTGTAGCCTATGTGTGCATGTATGTTGCCGATGTTTTGCTACATGGAAACGTGCATGTTGCGACTGTTTTGCTACATAGAAACTCACCCCGTCACTCTCGCTCGACAGGTTTGCAACAGTGTCTCAAACCATTTTCACTCTTATCAACTGCTTAAGGCCATCGTCTAAATGTCACCTGACATTTGGAAGTAGCCACATGAACTGTGTGATTGAAACTGACACTTCTAAGGGTGGCCAGAACGTTAGGTTAGGCGCGGAGCAAGGTTAGAGCGTTGCTTTTGCGTTCTGTGTAAAGAGTTTAAATGTGGCAGACCTATAAAATTGGGACAGGCTACCTGACCTGCATGCTACTGGGACCAAGCGTTCGTGTGTTTAATGTTATCTGCGGGGGTTCGACAAGTATAAGACAAGTTGTTTTATTATGAGCGCGGCCAGACGCCATAGCGACAATCGAAATCCTCTAGATTACCCGCGTCGTGTGTACGTTTCAATTGTCTTAATCTTGATGTGATAATAGAGATATTTTTCTTGGTTCTTTTGAGAGAAAAATGTGGATAAATTGGTTGGGAGGGATTACGCTAAGAGCTGCCACCCGGAGTGAGGGCAGTTTAGAAAGGTATGCAGACATGTTTCAGGTAGTGGAGCATACTCTCCAAGCAGAGGTTTGGGTTTTGGCTTATTTTTGGCGTGCTTTTAGGCCTTTTTATCGTGTTTTCTTGTATCTTTGTTGTGCCAGCAAGCCAACACACAAAAAAAGGTACCAGTACGAAAAGGAAAGCTCGATAAAGCCCAATAAAAAGCCTAAAACACGCCAAAAATACGGCGAAGCCCAAACCTCTGCTTGGAGAATAGTGGAGAGACCTGGACGTCTTTTTAGCGGCTGATTGAGATTTCGACAGTCTAGATGGGATCTTTATCTGGTGATTTGGCGCGTAATTGTGTTGGGGCAGACTCTGAATAACGCATGAAGGCGCGAGAAGTTGTTGAAACGTCCCTGGCGCCAGTTGCCCCCCAGAAGAAAGCGCTACCTGTCAGACACGGTCGTTTGGAGCTCGCCAGCTACGATTCCGATGTTCAGCCAAGCGTACGTGTGGCCTGGCTACAGTAGCAGGGCTTGAAATACTACTTCTTAGTACTTTCTGCTACTCTCCAAGCAGAGGCTTGGGGTTGGGCTTATTTTTGGCGTGTTTTAATGCTTTTTTATCGGGCCTTCTTTTTTGAAATGGTGTCGTTTTTTTTACGTTGGTTTGGCGTAAAAAAAGATAGCAGTACAAAAAGAAAGCTCGATAAAAAAAAAGCAAAAAACACGCCATAAGCAAAACCTCTGCTCGGAGAGTAATTTTCTGCAAAACAGTTCAGAAACAACTGCCATTATTTATTTTATACTTCATAGGTGTATATAAACCCAGAACATGGACCAGTGCAGGTTCAATGAGGTGTAGGAAGACATCAGAAATACCTGCATTATTATCATTATTAAAAGGTGCAAATGTACCTGGTATTTCGAGCCCTGCAGTGTGCGAAAAGTGGTCTGTCGTCCCATCAGTGTTAATTTCAGTGCAAATGAGGGGAGGCGTCTGCAGTTTCGGCCTAGTCTCACGTGCAGAGGTTTGGCTTTTGAGGTTTTTTAGACGTTTTGTGACGATTTCTTTGCCGTCAGCTTTTATTTTGGAATACTGGTCTCTCATAGTGTACCCAAACAAAAAGCTGGCAACATAGAAAGCCCGTCAAAACAACTAAAAACGTCCAAAAATGCCTAAACTCTACTTGGGCTAGTCTGAGCTGCTCTCCAAGCAGAGGCTTGGCTTGTTTTTAGCTTTTTTTGGATTTCTATGTTGTCAGCTTTTTTTTTTACATACAGGCCTAACATAATGTATATAATGTATCCAAAGGAGAGCTGGCAAACTAGAAAGCACATGCCTCCAAACCTCTGCTTGGAGACAGGATAGTCTCGCGGGTGCGTGTAAATTCCCCTCCTCCCGGTTTTCCCCGCCCTAGTACTCGAGCGGGCGCCGACTCGCTTCTCTGCCTCCTCTTGTTTTCTTAGGCTTTGCTCGGTAAACAATGGCATTCAGGCCTTTTACCTGTAATTACGCCACTGTTTCAATGTATGGCCCGACGTTTAGACGTGATTACGACCCAGACTCGGCGCGTATTGTGAGCGGCGGTGCGCGCTTTGTGGCGCGTAAGGTGAGCTAAGAACCAGGTGAAAGGGGTACACCCTGACAGGTGAATGGAACACACCTTTACCTGTGTAGACACCTTTGTGTCACTTACCTGGACCGCTTCTCAAACAGACGAAAAGGCGGAAGGTCCGGTGTTGGAGTCTGTTATCACAAGGATATAATGTCTTCATAAAAGAAGCTAAAGCCAACGTCTTGCCAAAACACCCTCTCTTACAAGAACCGTCTAATTTTACGATAATTCTTTAACGATTCATTCCTGTAATTCAACGACAACATTTCCATGAAAAGAACACTCTTATTTCTTGCAACAATAATGAATTTCTTATTAGAATTGTTGTTTTATAAGACTACTGAAATGACTTGCATTTTCCCATGGTTTATTTTTTCCCACGATTTAGCGCTACAATAATTGATATACGTTGCGTTTGAAATGTAAAAAATAATCAACAGGTATACATTATGTAAAATGTCGATAAATACATGTCTAGGCAAGTGCCAAATAACTGTCGTTTGGGTAAAAATGTTTTATTACCATGAAATGCTAATTTAACATAGCACGTCGTATATATCAATTAAAACATCGAAACGAGACGAAAATGTATCAAGATTTCATTAGAAATGTGTTTTTCTAAGTCCTGCGTTTTTCCGGTTAATAAAATGTACGCGTTATTTTTACAGTGTGAATGATATTGACATAGTAAATTACATCTGTGACTTTGAATGGGGCGTCGTTTGACGCGGACAAACAGATGATTGAAATTGACGATGAAATCCACCCGGCAGAGAAACAATGCCAACTGCACGGGGTCGCCCGGGTCACGAACCCAGCGCCTTGTCTGCAAATAACGTATTATTACCCCCACTTAACCCATTGTTACTGCCACAAATTGCCGGCAATTCCCATTTCTGGCGTTCCTGTCTACTCTCCAAGCAGAGGTTTGGGCATTGGCGTGTTTGTAGGCTTTTTATTGATCTTTTATAATTTGCACTTGTATCTTTCAGTTGACGTAAAAAGATACCAGTGCAAGAAAGAAAGCCCGTCTAAAAAGACTAAAAGCACGCCAAAAATAAGCCAAAACCCAAACCTCTGCTTGGAGAGTCAGCCCTTTCCACTAGACGGTGATCACTGAGCGACAAAAATTGATTTATATGAGCCTTAATTTTATTTATTTTACTGAAATCGCAATAGAAAGCCTTAATTTCATAATTGGAATATGATGCAAAGTGATAAAGTTTGATTAAAAGACGACAAAACACAGAAACGAGCGTACAAAATCATTCTTTGTACGATCAGTCAAATGAGATCAGTCCAAAATTTGATTTAAATGATCCCTCCATTTTGTAATAGGAATATGATACAAGATGTAAAAGTGTGACAAGACACACAAAACGCTTTTAAAAAAGTCGTTAAAATTCGTGGGCCGACCTTTCAAATCTTTGGTTCGCTCAGTGGTTGCTCATAGGTCGTAGCCTCTAGTGGTTAAGGGGTTGTTTTAAGGTTGTAAAAAGAGGCGTCTATTTTGGGCGTACTTAGTTTAACACCGGGTTGTATTTTGTGGGGATATCAGTTACTCACCGAAGGCCGACATGGCGTTTCAAGGCGACGGCTTAGCGAGCTTAGGGGGGCATTCGAAAAATTTGCGGGTTTAATGCCAAGGGTATTGTCCATTCCACAAGCGAGGAAACCGACTCAAGGGTTGTTCAAACTTTGTAACGGAGATTACTGTATGTTTGTATAGGCTTGGGAAGAAACTACTACGAGTAACCTGGGTGCCAGACTGTTGTCAGGGCCTGCACAAGCCAGCTCCTTGGCT